ATCACAGATAAAACAATTTACCACAACAGACCAGACATCACACTCATTGACAAACACAATAAAATCACATACATTATAGACATAGCCATTCCAAACACTCACAATGTACAAAACACATGCACTGAAAAAATTAGCAAGTACACAGAACTCGCCCAGGAAATAAGGCATCTGTGGAGGATGGACAGGATGCTTATTGTGCCTGTTGTTCTCTCCTGTACAGGTGTGATATCACACACACTACACAAAAGCCTGGGAACATTACAATTGTATAGAAATACAGTAGAGCGTCGTTTATCCGAATCAATTGGGGACTGGGTTGTTTGGATAACTTATTTTTCGGATAACCAATTATGTACGAAAAAATATATTAATCTATCCCGTGTTGAAATTTTTCTCCGTTGCGTGTCGCTTCGTGTTGAATTTTCGTCGATGTTAAGCCTAATGTAAACTTTTTAAAATAATAATCGTGGCTATTGTATCGTTAAAAATTATTTCTTTATTTTTCACAAACAAAATAAATATATTGAAAAATATAAAAACAAAAAAATTTATACTTTAGAAGTTATTTAGTATCAAAAACGTTCGATTCAGCATGATACACAGTCCTCAGAAAAAACACCACACAAAAGTGACAATGCTGCCAGCTAAAACACATACACAAACATAAAAAATATTGGAGTAGCCCAAGATATAGCCAAAGATTGCAGCGCCACAGCATTAGCGAAAATTTAAATTTGCTGACTGGAATTTTTCGGATAATCGATATTCGGATAAATGACACTCTACTGTACATACATCACACTATAGAAGGCCGCTATATTGAATACATGCCACATTGTTAGGAAATTCCTGAATACAGACACAGACACTGACACACTTATTTAATTTTAGTTTTGTTCTTGGTGCTATGCCTTGACTCTTGTCCTGCATAGTACACAGCTACCGGTGTGAACTGAGTATAATTCACTAAACACAACATAGTAATATTAAGCACAGAGGCCAAACGGTAGGAGTTGAAAGTTGAAATTTGGTACACAGTTAGCGTACATCACGAGAATGCACACTAACAAGGGATTTTTCGAAATTTCTCCCCACCGGGGAGAGGGACAGGATTAAGGCTTAATACTTCCATCAACAATGGAAGTGTTAAGTAACAATGGATGTGACAAGTAACAGTGGTAGTGTTACTTGTCACTTCCATTGTTACTTGTCACTTCCATTCTCTTTACAATTCTACTTAACAATGGAATTGTTAAGAGAAAGTGACATGCAAGACGCAGATGCAATTTTTTTAGTTTTTGCAGGAAATTGAACATATTTTTAGACTCATCTAATAATTTTCTAATTAGTCTGGAAACAGGGGGACCCAATTCTTGCCTTCTCTGAAAACGGGTAAGGTTGACTATAACATAATAATTTTAATCTTCACTATCGTTACTTTTGCTCGAGCAATGCCAGGCCTACCTGCTAGAAGCTCAGACCTTATGTCAAAGCTGGCCAGCCTTAAGGTTGAGATCAGCTTATGTCAAAACTGATCTCAACTGTAAAGAGAACTGATGGCTTATTATGGGTACAAAAATTGCAAAATAGAAGACAAAATAAATAGCAGCAGGAGTTAATTAGAAAAGTTTAATATCACGAACTTTGACTCATTCATTGTATGCTGGAGTATGTTAAAGCTGTTATTAAGGGTCGAAGTGTCCTAAGAAGTATTTGAATTTCATTCAAAAAGAAATAACGCAGTGAACTCTTTTTTTCCTTCCTTAACTGTGAATGACAAGTTCTTGCAACGTCAGTCATTAATAGTAATGTTGAGGCTATGGTGTAAGAATTTAAATAATTAAAAACGTCAGCAAGTCATTTATATATTAAAGTTTAAATTATGTTTATTTATAACAAATCAAAATGATATAAAGTTTTACATAATTAAATTAAATAAAGCAAAATTGTTTTGATGCTAAGTTTAATTTTTTTTAAAGTAAAATATCCAAAAAATAAAAAGTAAATAAATATTTTGATCCAACAATAAAATTCATTTGTTTGAATTCTTAATTAACTTAATAGATTTTTGTAAATAATTTTTAAAACATTACTACTACTTCATATCAATACTTAAGGTATAAAAATACCGTTTTAGTGTAGATTTTTATGCATTTTTTATAACAATTTATGATAATACGATAATTTTATAGTTCGANACCCCCACTCTTTAAAGTTCAGATGTTTTCTGTTCAACAATTGAGTAGTTCAGTTAAATAATTTAAGAAAATTTTTTTGTTTTAAATAATAATTTAGCTTGTGAAATTATTTTTTAAGTAAAAAGCAGCAAAGATTTTCATGTTATGTTTAAGTGGGCAGTTACTAATGGATCTTTTGCAAGTAATTCATATGAAAAAAGTGAAAAAAAAGAAATCAGTGATGCAAAGTTTTTATGGTTAGGAAATTAAATTACTTTTATAATGTTTAACAAATTTGGATCAGAAAAAAGTACTCAATAATTTTCATGTTTAATTTTTTTAAAATCATTTTTAGGGGTTTTCCATCATATGCAAAAACCCATGACTATTACAATGATGACATATATAGGAATCTTGAAGATCTTGCAAAGTAAGATTTATTTAATTTTTTTCTATTATAAGAAAGTAATGAAATGCTTGTATAAAGTAATCTAACACATTTTATATAAGTTATGTTATGTTTAAAATATTCATTTTTAGTCTGATTAAAATTTGCTCACTTGGAAAGAATTAAAGCAATTAAATGAAATTTAAATTAAACATATATTGTTTATAGCTTATATTTTGTATTCTTTAATCTTAGTTTTATTATTTTTACGTATCTGTTGTTGTTGTTACCTATTACAGTAGAGTCTCGGAAACTTGACTCTTGATAACTCGACATTCTGTAATTCATGTACAAAAACAAAGTACATGTAATCTAACTTTTACATCTATATCTTAAACCTAGGGTCAAATAAGTTATTGCTCTTTGTCAGTGGTACTTGATAATAGTATCAATTCCACATGTTAACAAAGAATATAACCTTTTTTCTAAAGTGCCACTGCAAAATGCCATGAGACAAATGTCACTAACTCAAAAGTAGTCACTGAATAGTCAATGTTTTTAAAATTAAAATTTAACTACTAATAAAAATAGTCAGTAATGGTACATAGTTAATACATTTATGAATTTGCATGTATAATGTATTTACAAAAATTTTGCTATTTAGATTAGCATCATAGTTTTCTTATTTTACTGTTAACACAGGAGTCCTATATAATTCATCATTTTTGGTAACTTGCTGATTTCTCAGTCAACATTAGGTCAAGTTTACAGATCTCTACTATACTTTGATATTTTAATGGGATTCATTTTAACTTTGTTGTATTAGAACAGCTATTATTGTTCTAGCAACATCTCGTGTAAAAAATATAATAAACAAAAAATTTATTTTTCATTCTTTCCATTGTTCCTATTTATTTCTTAGTGTTAATCTATAGGTTACATCTATATTGTAAAATTTTATAAAAAATATTATGATAATGTGGTGTTTTTTAAAAGACCATTCTTTTAAAAATTTGGTGAATTGTTACAAATTAATAATGAGCAATACTTGCAATAATTGGACAAGGCATTTGTTTGTTTTCACAAATCCAATCCACCATGTTGCTCATAAGCTTTGATACATTCTTTGCTTTCAGTGGCATATAAACAATTATCCTGTTAATAATAATTTAAATATAAAATATAAAGAATAATAGTTTGATCTCTGAAAGTTTCCTAAACCAAACTGTCTGAAAAAATGAAAAATGCACTCTCTCTTGTACTTATTCAATATTACAATACTGATACAGGATAGAAAGAGTTTAAAAATTTACAGCATTGTTTTTCTTGTATGAATAAAATGAAAATGAAAATAATACTTATGAAAAAATTGATATTTATTACAAACATTTTATGCTGGAAACTTAGTTCAAAAACTATATATCAGAAATGCCAATATCAATTGTACCAATAAACTGATAACTAATTATACTTATATTTTTATTTTTAAAATACAGTTGTGACAGATTGTAAAATACCTGGAAGTAGAACAATCTCTAGCCCCTTGGAGGTGCACTTCTTGGACGTAAATGTATTATAGTGGAGGAGTCTGATATCCACACCTTGGTATATCATAAACTGGGGTTCATGTCGTCATCCATACCAGTGGGGTCATATGACTCATTTTCTTACAAGATTGCGGTGTACAAGGCCTTAATCAGAAGAGCCTTTACACATTCTTACAATCCCCAGGCTCTTGATGTCGAACTAGCATTTATAGAGTGCATAGCCGCAGCACATGGTTGTCGCAATGTTACGCATGGGCTGATAGAACTGTGAGAATACCAGGGGCTAGTAGGGCAAGTGATTCCCTAAATACAGTGGAACCCCAGTTAATGAACGTTCTGGTTAATGACCAAATCAGTTAATGAACTTTTATTTTGCAAAAATTTTGTTTTGGATAATGAACAAAATTCAGATAATGAACTTAATGGCTTTTTGTGTCAAATTTGTAAGCTTGCCGACTTTTAGGGGGAATCAGTTAATCGTGTGTCGGTGATGGTCTAGGGTCCATTCGTACGTTGGTGGTGGCAGAGGAGACAAAGATGACAAGTATTTTACAGTGAAAATCATTTATTAGAATGGAAACATGCTTACTTATTTGAGGTGGTTGGAAATGGCTAATCTACAGTGTTTTCTTCCGGCACTGAGGAGTGGTGTATTGCTGGTGCTACAATAGTGCAAGCTGATCAGTTGTAGACCCAGAGCGGACGAGATGGGTTTGCTTGGTCACAGAAGCGATGGTAGGTGACAGAGCTGCAATGATTGGAGCAGTCCATGAGACACAACGCAAATTTTAGTGGGCACGACTTCAGGCTTAATCCAGATGAAGACGACACAGATTAATTGCCATAGAATTTTTAAAAAACTGCGTTTTGACCTTGAGATTTGGGGTTTTTATAGTATTTCTTCCTTGAATCTCATCTTACGATTAGTCCTGTGTTCCATTCCTCGCTTTCTGATTGTTTTCTTCTTTGTCTCCAGGTGAAAACCGAAACCAGATTAGGTCACGAGAAAGGTTTGTTCTGAGGCATTTATTTGACACCTGTTCGTCGACTCTGATAGCAGATTGTTGATAAACCTATAAGCCTTTCGCTCATAATTTAGCATATTGTTTCTGCTATCTTTCACTTTAGAACTTTAACGATTGTACGAAATGTTTTTATAACCGTCAAATCGTTTTCCTTTTCCGAAAATTTAACCTAGATCGACTGTTTATGACCTCTTCTGTCAGAGTTTCATCTTCCCCGCAGACATTCCACTTGATCCACCTGATCAGTTATGTCATTCGTTTTCACGTCGCGTTTGTTTTGACAACTACAGTACAGTTTTTTCCTTACTTCTCCCTGAACTTTGGTCCGACTTAACAACAGTGTTTTTGCTTTTAACATGTGGATATAAAATTATATTGGGTTGATGCAAAAGTTCGTCCTGTTTTTTTGAAAAGAATCAAAGAATCATTTTACAAATAAAATTACAAAAATACTGACAGCTAGAATGGATTAATTGTATTTGCATTAATTTCTATGGGAAAAATTGCTTTGGTTAACGAACAATTCGGTTAATGAACGAACTCGTGGAACGAATTATGTTTGTTAACCGGGGTTCCACTGTACCACTTAATCTGCATCAGATCAGCAAGATCTGCTCACATGGTCTTTGGATGGCTAGGAGGGCTAAAAGATTGAGTGAGGAATGCAGTGGGCAAGTCGATAAGGTGTCCAAGGTTTGATAGAGACAGGTAGCCAGATTAACAAATGAAAAAAATGTAATATATATCTATGTAAAACGTCTCTGTAATTAAAAAAATTATGGTAGACGAACTCACAGCAAATTTTTGGTTAGGAACTATGATTTTATTTTTAAATTAAATTACATATGCATTTCAGGTTGGTGCAATATATCCCAACCCTTCCTCAGTGCTAATTTTAAAAATAATAAAAACAAAAGTTGTCAGAATATGACAAAATATATAGCATCAGAAAAATATTATTACAACACTTACTCTTAAGCATATAAAATTGTGCAAGAGAGAACAACACATCCATAACACCAACACATGTTATACATCAATCAGCCTTTAAAACACTCAGTAGATATATTGTACATGCTCTAAGAGCTATTGAAGTGTCTAATACCACAGGATTACATCATCACTAAAAAATAAAACTTTTTACAACAATTTGTAGAAATTAGTAATTAATAATGGTGTATAAAACATACATTCCTTACTTACTATTAAAATATATGGTGGCACACATAAATTACAATCTATAATTCACAAAAACACCAAGTAAAAAACATACTGTGTTTCTTTAACCAATCACAACATTTAACTCTGTGTAATGCCCTCTATCAGTTTATACCAGCAATAATCAATTAGCATACTTTCAGAACTATTTATTAAATTATTTTTTTGGTTTTTCTTTATTTCTAAATGTTTCTTAAATTTTCTTTTATACCTTTTATACATGTCTTTTTCATAATGCAAAATTTTTATATTATTACGATTGATTTTACAATTACTATTTTTTGTATGCTCATACCATGGGAAATTATCATATTTTAAACGAATGGCTGCTTCATGCTCTTTTACTCTAACCTCCAATACACGATCAGTTTCCCCTATCTACTATATAATTGAGATGGGTTGATGATGATAATAATAATAATACTCTCCCTTGGTCACCACCTGGTCGTGGTGGGAGAGCCCAGTAATTTTACTGATCCATAGGGCAATGCAGGCTGGAGCACAAGCTCCTACTAGGGACACCCATGCCAGTAAGGTCTATGGGGAGAAATGAAGCAAAGAGTGACCACACCCACATTCTGTGGAGATATTTATCATGGTAGTAATCAGATCAAAGTGTGATACCGGCTTGGATGTCCCACGGGTTAACAAGGTTTGCGTTCGTGGGTTAGGCAAGGCTCATGTTCGAAACTAGGCCACAGTCTCCCTTGATTACTGGTGGCGAAAGCAGCAGCGATGGCCCAAGCATGGTTACTGCAATGCCCTCAACAAATGTGAGGAATCAACCTAGCCTTGGTGTTTCTGTGGCAATGCATCCACAGACCACAAAAGCTGGAAAACCATGCCAACGGATAAAATGGAAACAGAAATGAACGAGTTTATCATCCGTACTTACTATGCAATCACAAAACTCGAAACAAACATGACAGCATACAGACAACAACTACACCATAGATTCACACAACAATATCCTCACCTCACTGTCACCGAACAAAGGGTTGTTGATCAAAAAAGAACAATTATACACAACAACCTTACCCAACAAACAACACTTGAACTTATCAAACAACAGGTTGCTGATCAAATACATCAACAGACAGAAACATTTAACATTATTAATGAAGATCACGTAACCTGTCAGGATAATCCAGCAACAAGCATTGATAATGGCACACATACAACAACTACCACTAATGATAGTACAGGCACTTTGTCATCCATTACTGATAACGTAGACATAGAATTAGTTAAT